GGGGGGGGGGCATAGGGGGCACGCAAATTGGATCGTTTCATGAAAACGCCGCGCGTCGTCGTGCTGCACCGGCCGTGCCGGCACTGCTGCACGTTGGTTTCGGGAAGAAGCTTAGCGTAGTCCGTCTTCTAGTTGTGCAAAAGTCTACCAGCAATAGCAAGGCTTTCTAGAATCAAGTGTTGCACGTGTGTGTGCAGCGTGATCCATCACGCACACTTAACAAAACGACAATGGAGCCGCGAGGCCCTCCATCGAAAAGAAGCAAGGGCTCGTCACGCCGTCCGCCGCTGCCCCCCGAGAGCAGAGCAACACCCGTAGCTTCTTCGACAATCTGTGCACTCGTGGAGAACAGGGCTCGCGAAACATGTCTGGCGGTGATTAATACAGCCAACTCCTCCGTGATTCAGGTGAGGAACCAAACACACACAACAGAGGAGGAGAGCTCCTTGCTGCCCTATTCAAGCGCGGCGCCTCAGAGGCGTTCAGGATACGAACTGCTGTGATATGGTTTAGTGCCGCCGAACTGCTTGTAGGTGAATGTATGGGATAGCATGATGAACAGCTCTTTGTACAAAAGGTTTAGGTGCAGCTTAGATTTTTTGAATTCTTTATTTTTTTTAGCTTGACTTGTGTTGAGCTTGTACGCAAGCCGGAAGATCTGTCCGCGCTCATGATTCCGTGCTCGCATTTAAAAAAACGCGCTTGTTTTCGAGCACTCTTTGTCGAAGCCGCACGCATAAGCTCCCCTAATTTTCTTCCGGAGTACAGAAAAAGAAAAACGGTGGGTGGGCCAAGAAACGATGCACTGTCTATCGAACTCGAAACTTCTGGCAATGCGTGGCGGAAGTGGTGTACCCGCACACACGCACAGAAGATTGTTGGAAAAAAGGTGGTTCTACTCGCCGCCAGCCGGTCGGGGTCCGGTTACCCCAACAAGACTTCTCTTGCCTAGCAAACAAGAAGAAGCCTCGAAATAGGGGGGGGTAATGTGGAGAACACCTTCATAAAGGTTGAAACTCCCCAACGTCTGTCGAGGACGAAACCCTCTTTTCCACAGTGGGAGTTACCCCAAGAAGACTTCTCTTGCCTAGCAAACAAGAAGCCTCGAAAAAGGGGGGGGTAATGTGGAGAACACCTTCATAAACGTTGAAACTCCCCAACGTCTGTCGAGGACGAAACCCTCTTTTCCACAGTGGGGGGAGTTTTTTCCGCGCGCACCATCACAACAGCATAACCCGTGCTGCGGAAAGTACCTGCAGTAGGCTGGGTCGTGCGCCCCCCGTGAATATGTGTTGCTTTTGGTTTGGTATGCATACACACACCCGAAATGTTGTTGATGCGATGTTGTTGATGCGAATCGTTGTTGTCAGCACTCCGTGTGCGTTGATAAATGAAGAAGTAGAAAAAAATGCCCCACCACTCAGAACACAGCAGCAGCAGAATATTTGAACTAGCACGCGAGTTGTCGCCGATCGCGAGCCCCTCCTCACTACGCCCTGTCGTGGTCTGCAAACCACACGCGAACACCCTCTGTGATATGCAGATAGTGAAAGCCGCGAGCTGTAGAGGAGGAGATGCGTGGTAGCTGGTCTGAACACGTGCCAAAGTTGGCCACTCGGTGTGGACGAGGTCAAAAAAAGAACACAGCAGCAGCAGAACCAAACCGACATACACGGTCCCCCCGGTGGTCTAGCGGGTAGCCTCGCAGCCTGCTAAGGGCCGGGTCATGGGTTCGAGTCCCCGCAGAGAGAGTTTTTTTCTCGCTAAATAAATCCTGGTCTAGGATGAAAGCGACGCGCTGCAAAGCTCGTTTGTTAGTAAACCATAATCGACTTCGTAAGTCGCGAGGGAAGGGATTGCTGTACCCTTCTCGCGATAAAAATACCTCAGGCATGAACTGCAGGAGGGGGGTCCAACCCCCCCCCTCCTATGTGACCCCGGTTGGATCGTCTAGCCAGTAGAAGTGGAGGATAGGGGCCAGAGGGGCAGACGGCAGAGTCCAATGATGGGAGAGCAGCAAACAAACAAAAAAACACGTGTCCCAAATGACAGTTGAAGGACGCCGCAAAGAGAGGACAAACCGGGTGTGAACGAGTGACTTAGGGGTTGGTGCAAGGAAACAACGACGCGAGAAGTGTTCACCTATTAGGAGTAGGCTTGGGCACTCGTTTTTTTTGCAGAACGTCGCCAATTGGCGCAGTTATCGATGAAACGGATTGTGAATAGAGTACATATCGGCACCGAACGCAGCGACGCGGGCACGAAATGAGAAACGCTTGGGTGCGGAATGATGGCCTTGTTACGCTACAGCTTGTGCACTTTTCCGCACCGAAAACGATCCTCAAACGGCTTGTTTATCGGTGCAAAGGTGGTGCGGACACACACACACACACACGGACATCAATTTGAGAACAGTAATTAATTCAGGGGTCGGGCTGACAGGCGGTGTTATTCAACGTGCGCAGAACCCAGGCGGGGAAAAAAAAAGGACCCATCTAAAACAGTTTTTTTGCGAAAAAAAAACTCCGCTATCGCTCCGCTTTTTTTTTCGCACGCGCGCTTCGCGCGCGGAAAAAACTCCTATAAGAACTGCTTTCATTCTTCCCTGGCGGGGGATTTCCATTCCATTCTCAGCCCAGACTGCCATGAACCGCATTCATTCATGTTAACCGCGGTACCAGGCACAGTACTTTGCGAGAATGCTAAGTTGAGGGTTCATTGGAACATCGCTCGCGTTCAAGAGAAGCATTGACTGACTGCTCTTTGTTAATTTGCGCGTACTACGATACATGATAAGGACAACAAGTACTCCGAAGGACAAAACCACACTCTCCTACAGCCAAGTCGACGATAGAAAAAACAAGTAAAAAACACTAATATTTATAATATTCAAATCTCTCTTTCGCGAACAACTGTTCGACTTCGTCAATCGAGCCAACTTCATTCGTTTCGCTGAACAGTTGCAGAACCCGAACTAACCTCGTCATCGGAAGGTCATGCATGACAAGACCCTCCACTTACTCAAACTTCAGACCCTCCTCAGGAACGTCGCTTGCAGGCTGAGAGAGACTAAGCCAAAAAATACACGAGAAGAAGGAACGGGAAAAAAAATAGCCCATACAATGGTGCAGCATGTACCAAAAATCGAGTCCATTTTCTACGTGCCTGGGCAGAAGATTCTGGCGCCCAGTCTGAAATGAACCGATGTGTGTCCCACTTGAATCTGTAAAACCGGAGGCTGTCATCATCAAGTCCTCCACCGCTACCCTCGCCGCTACCGCCTCCCGCTTCAACGTCCCCCCCCGCTATAAAGCCATGTCTTTCGAGTCGCGTCAAAGAGGCACTAACAACGTTTGTCCGGGCTACATCTAAAATTCTATTCCTGCTATTCTTGAGGACTTTCCTCAGCAGCTCTATAGCCCCGAGATACATTGCCCGCTCGGCGAGCACTCGGTGGCCGCAGGCGTTGGCCAACGCCGCCAACGCTACGTCTCTTTCCATATCATTGGAGCGGTGACTTGTATGTCGCCAATTTGTATGTATGCATCGTGCATCGGGATATTTCGTGACGGCGACACAGAGGCACGGGAGGTGGCGGTCGGGGGGGAGTACGAGCTTCAGACACGAGGATGGTGGAGTTCTTGCGGTCCGTCAAACACGGGCAGTGCACCCAGATATGATGCGATCGCGGGTTTTGTACGCTTCTTCATGGTTCCGCCGTGGGCTCTTTGGCGTTGGAGCGGAGGGATTGGAACCACGAGAGAAAGCCGGCCAAGCCGTCTCGGTATTGCCATACACATCGAAATCGCATCTTCAGGTGTTTCGGGCTGCTGGTACAAGCCGAACCTATTTTCCCAGCTCCGCAACGTTACCGAGCGTCGCCAAAAAACATTCGTTGGTTATCACCGGCATCACCGAAATTCTGAAAAAAACATTCGTTGGTTATCACCGTGAGATACTGGCAAACGTTTCGTCGCATCCCACCTCTTGACAGGGTCGAGTAACGCCTCCATCCGGTCACGGAAGGCGTCGATGCACTCCTCGTGCGCCGTCAGAAGGCTGTCCGAGAAGGATAGCACGTTGGCAGCTATTGCCATCGACAAGATCTTCAGCTCCAGGTTGCTCGTGCTCAACAACTCCAGCACGGACTCTGCACCACCCACGGGTTGAACAAGTCACGATTGATTGCCGTACCCACCCGCCCCGGACAGAAAACAACGTGGCTTGGGCTCACCGCTTGTCATGGACATGACGGATGGCAACTGTACCCACTCGACGATCTAGTTGTTGACCACATTCGACAACAATGGAATTTTTCCAACAAAGTAGTCCGCAGCACGCACGGCCAACAACTTCGTTTAGTCCGAACGTCAAGGGTAAATGTCCCGACTTAGGAACGAGTTAGGCTATTAGTTCGCTCGACAGAGAAAGAGCGGTACACGTGCAACCCTCGCCTCGGCAACTGCGGGTTCGTTCTTACCCAGCGCTCCGGTCGTGATCACAGAAAGCACCGTCTCCATATCGTAGCAAAGGGTTTGGAGAGCCCTGGGTAGGCACGACGGGGCGGGGGGAGGGAGTCAGGGTGTGAGTGAACGAAAAAACATCCCTTGAGAGGCACTGACTGTACACATACCGGTAGTCTAGACGGGACGAAAACGGCAGCTCCCGCTAGCTGAGCCGTCGCTCACAGCCTCTTACTTTTCATGAGGATACGCAAGCCAGGATATGCGGTGAAGACACAGATACACCCAGCAAGAGCTGGAGGCCTGGCGGACAAATTCCCTTCAATCGTAACTATATCTCTCCACGCCGAACGGTCGTTCCTCTAGAATCAAGACACACTACTTCGCATTTTCTCACCCCAAGATCTCCCTCAGGCACGCCGTGTCGCCCTCTCGAACTTTTAAGGCCGTCGCCAGCACGCTGGGTATCCCAGCCGCTGCTGCCTGCGGACGCAAAGCATCATCCACCACCAATATCTTGATGCTCCGCGCCGAATAGGCCACAACCGCCTGGTGCTCGCTGGCCACAAGCCTGGAGAGGGTGTGGCAGAGTGGACCGAAGGAAGAGGGCTCTATCCGGACGCGCTTCACCATCGCAGAGATTCCCATCGCCGCCTGTTTGCGAGGAGAGGGGTTGGCAGGAACAATGGCGAAGACGCTGGCTGATGTGCAACTAAGTTAGTGCCATGTATGCATGTATGTGTACGTTGATCATTCTCGCACAGCACACAGCACGACATAAGGCCAGAGACAGCGAGGTGTTGTGATTTGCTCACTGCAGCACAGCTTCACGGGATGGCCTCAACAACAGCATCACTACTTTCTAGAAGGGGGGCGATGCAGAGCCCTCCCCTTGCCAACCTCCGAAATATGGGAGAAGAAGGGTCGACAGTAGTGTTTGAAGGGGGGCGTATGATGGTGCCGTTACCATGGGTATTGGGTGTCGACAGACAGGTGCAGGAGTTCTTCCACATCTTGTGCCTGTCGTGTGTGTTCAGTGTGCGATTAGCAGTGTGCGATTCAGCTGGTCTGGTGTGGACGCTGGGTTGCGTGTGCACAAGTAAAAGCGATGATACAGAAGCGAAGTAAAGCAGCACAAACCTGCATCTGTCGGTAAAATATGATATATTTATCACAGACCCATGAAATGGGAGACGTTATTACGTTCACTGCTGCTGTGATCAAGTCTATTATTGAAACCCACAGCAGTACAGCAGTAGTAATAGTGTTGCTGGGTCGACCCCAGGGTAAGGAAGGTACTGCAAGAGTATCGTGTTTCGACATGAAGACAACGAATTCCCACCAGTTTCGACGTCGGCCAAGTGGTTATTAACCCTCGTATAGTACCCAGTCCCTCCGCAAAGAGCAAAAGTCGCACACTTGTTTGTCAGGTCATTTGTCGAGGGGCTACAGTAGTCCCTCCAAAGAATCTGAGCTCCTTGCCAGACAAAGGGTGACTTGGCTTCAGAATAAAAAGTGTCCTCGAAACACGTGGGGACACTGTTCATGCTGAAACCAAGTCAGCAAATTTTTCCAGCACCAGGCGATGTACAGTTTTACCACCTGGGGGGCACGCGGACTGGGAAATGGTGTACAGGAAGTCGGAGGGCTAGGAGAGGCATCACACAGCATGTCACACAGCGTACGACATCAGCCACCGAGGGTTATCACGTGCGTTGCACACAGCAGAGCCTAGGGTGACTACAGTGCGGAAATAGGCATTTGAGTGTTGTGTCCCCAAAGTGTCCACAGTTGGGCTTCCAGAGGGTTCAAAGGCGTCTGCTGTTGAGCGTGCGGAACATTCTCTTGTAGCGCCACAATACAAATCCAGGAAAATTCTACGCACCAAGATGACAGCAGTTCTCGTACCACGCAGCTCATCTCTTGGGGGCCCATGCATGCCTTACCAGCGATGTATCACCCGCATCGGCAGGTATATGCATACCTCGTTAACTACGAGAGTGCTCTCAGGCGAGCGGGCTAGCTCGATCTACCACCACGGCTGTTGTACCACTGCTCATTTGATACTCGGGTGAAGAAAGCACAGCACTGCCTCTCTGACCTGGACTTGGTCATCGGTGTCTCCGGAGTGCGAGAGTTGCAGAAGATTCTGCAGGGAGGGCAGTAGTGTGGGGGCATCTCTGCTGCGCTCGTCTAGCAGCGGGTCATTGGTGACGTCCATAGCTCTGTGACTTTGCTCCTTTGCTGTGTCACACGCTCTCTTGCTCTGTGCACAATCCGCCCGCTGCCCGGGTGCACGGTCTAGCAGCTGCTGGGGTCATGTTCAAATGGCAATGACGCCATATGCTCGCCAATCACAACGCAGTCCGCGTCACCCCTGCTGGTCATGCAGCCAGCAGCCAGCACCTTCTACTGCACCTTCTACTCTGTCTACCGCGCGTCCACGACGATACCACCCACCGCACGCCGGTAAGCCGAGTACTTTGAAGCCTGTTTTGCTGCCACGCATGCGGAGCGTTAGCTGCCTGCGAGCAGTGGTCTCGCCATGCAGTAGCGGGAGACCTACTGGGAGGTGGAGCCGACAGTCTCTTTTTATCGCGCCGCATCGGCCGTCTGCCGCCCCTGCTCGAAGACTGACGACAACCACAGGAGCGGCAGGAGCACCCCCGCGAGGCTACTCCCGCCACCGTCATCCAAGAAACCCTGTCCCTGGGAAGGATGACTTGCCGACGATTCTCACTGCAGCGGGAATGGTGAAGCTGTGCGGCCTGCCGTGGAACAGAGGATCGCCGCTGGTTGGATTGGACGTTGCACCCAGCAAGTGAGCGGCGGCATATGCGTGTGTTACTCGTTACTTGCGTGTTTCTGTGTATGTTTGCGAGAGAAGAGAGTGTATTGTGCTGCAAAAGGCGAACGAGGTGTTGTGTCTACGTTCTGTGTGTCGCGAGTTGGTCGACGGAGGTATGACCGCAGTAGAGTGGCTCCAGAAGTGGCTGGGCTACTGGAGTTGGAGGTGGAATAGCTTTTTATGGTGGTTGCACAAAAGTACCTGCAGTAGGCTCGTGCGTCTGTTCATTGGCTGGCTCGTGTGAAGAACGTCGTACAGAAGAATGGGGGGCGGTCCATCATCACCAGCTAGAGAGGGGGGTGGTATCCATCATCANGTTGGAGGTGGAATAGCTTTTTATGGTGGTTGCACAAAAGTACCTGCAGTAGGCTCGTGCGTCTGTTCATTGGCTGGCTCGTGTGAAGAACGTCGTACAGAAGAATGGGGGGCGGTCCATCATCACCAGCTAGAGAGGGGGGTGGTATCCATCAT